CCCCAAAACCCCAAAACCCCAAAACCCCAAAACCCCTAGAAATGGGCAGTGGGCTGAAGACTAAAAATATTAAAAATATGATTAGGTTGCCAAAATGTCAGGGGAAGAAGGAATGAGGGAATGTAGAGGTTTTGGTCAGGAGGGGGGAAGAGAGTTGTTTTGAACAGGATTTTGGAGCTTGAAGGCAATGTGCAGTGGAGATGTACTCAACAGAAACTACTCAACCAATCCCCACCATCTCCGATATAGATATCCTACTTGAACAAGGTAATGTCTTCAAATCTTATCAATATAGCAACTTTTTGCCTCCAAAAAATAGCTAATTTCAAGCTGAAATATAACCTGGAACATCTATGGGCAAACCTTAGCCACAAGCACAACGAATTCACTCTTAAAACTGAAGAATTAGGTCGAAAATTGGAAGTTATTAAAATAAAAGGGAATTACGAAAAACTCGGCTGTCTGCTGGAAGAGTGAAAAGAGCTTCTTTCAGAGATCTTTAGCTCTGATATTATGAGACAGTATGCAAAGCAAGCTCTCTTAAGAGAACTATATGATCAGAAAGCAAATCAAGGAATCAATTTGAGGGCCAAAAATGATGCTCAGAAAACTAAAATTGACCAATTTCATGATAAAATCTCTAAAGTTGATCTACACAAGCTTAAACAAGAATTTGAGCAATTAGATGGACACTCTGATGAAGCTAAAGGAGGTCTTGAAGCAATTGAACAAAACAAGCAAAGCTTTGAAGCATCTATCCAAGCTTTAGTTCAGCAAAATACAGAGATTGGCAATGAAATCAGTCTAAAAGAGCAAGAAATGAGAGAATTCAGTGAGAAATTAGATTCTTTCAGAGAAGAAGAACTCAAATTAATCGAGCAATCACATAAAATTTTAACAGAACACAGGAAACTCAAAGAGTATATATTTTACTGAAAATAAACCCCTCAGCTATCATGAACTGGGAGATATCTTAGAAAACTTTGAAACTGGATCTAGATTTGACCAGAATGAAAACAGCAGTCTCCAGTTAAACTTGAGAGACCCTAATCACGAGAAGATCCTTCAGAGCATTGCAGGCAAGAAGCTTCCAAAAATGAGTTATGTAGGACTTCATGAGATCATAAGAACTTCTGATTCTAGTGTTATCACTAAATTCCTGCAAGACTCTGTTTCAAAGGATATCTTCGAATTTCACCTTGACTTTGGCTGCTTGATCCCTGGTCTCATAGCAGAGCACCTTGGTGCTCTGCAGAGATCACTTCCAAGGCTATCGAAATGGGTGAGCTTTGAGAAGCTCCATCTCAAGCAGAGCCAATTTGAAGCTCTGGTAGTTGCCTCTAGAAACTGCGAGAGGATCAGCTTCAACAAGTGCCGGATAGAGATAGAGCAAAGCTGAGATTTTGGAAACAGGCTAGATAATTGTGCTATCGAGGAATTTAGGTTCAACGAGACAGCAAATGAAGGGTACTCTAGGTTTGGAGAGGAAGGATATCGAAAGTTGAAATGGTTTGTTAATGGGCTTTCTAAAGTCAGAATATTGAAGGAAAGAACAGTTAAATTTGAGTTTGAGGACAGTCAAATGGATAGTGAGAGAGTAGAGCACGTGTTTATTGAAGCTGGAATGAATAAAGTATGGCTTGGTACGACATAAGATATTTTGGATATTAAAGAATCAATAATAAATTTTAATATCGGGGTTTTGGGGTTTTGGGGTTTTGGGGTTTTGGGG